ATAAGACATATCAATAAATGTACTTTGAATATTCCATCTAGCCAGAAACCAGAGAAGAATCCTACCTTAAGTGAACTTTCTTTGAGAATTCAGTCTTGCTAGATTAAAAACCCGTGGATCTGATTCTGTAAAGATTTTTAATATATTCTATGTATAGCTTTGACACTTAATTATTGGTATCTTTCTAACTTTCTGTGAAATAAGGATAACGATAAAAACAAAATTGCGCCAACGGTTCATCTTTGCTGGTCGAATAGTCTTTCGAAAGAAGTATTTTCAATGACCCAATTATTTTTATAACATTTTTTATACATGTACACAGTATTTCTCCCGTGGGTAAAACTAGTATGTAAATATGCAAGTGGTTGAATTATTCGGCTGAATTTACCATATTCTTAGAGGACTATAAACAGAGGCTTTTGCTATCGTCTATGAAAGACATCTTCATGTAAACGTAGGCAAGCACCGATTGTAAGCATTCAAATATGATGGACGTTTACAGCTTTTTAACGTGATTACTCCTTTAAACGTAATTCAATTGTAAGCAGCTGTATTGAAACGTCGGTTGCCCTCGATAAAAGGTTTCTCCAAGACTAAACCATACATTTTACAACCATCTCACTTCTGACATGCATTTCTTCCTATCACATAAACATAAAAAGAAAAGCGCCCACAGATGGGTATACTTCAATAGGATATCGTAACAATTATGAAAAAATAAAGAACCTGAAAAACCCCTAGAAAAAACTTTAAAGACATGCGGTGCAAGCAATATTTTTGGAACTAATGCATCTGCTTTCGGGAGGAAAAAACCCCATCATAATCAAAATTTAAAAGTTTTTTGAGAGTTTAATGAGACAGTGATTTAATTAAAATGCATTTATGAAAATGGAAGTGGTGGAATTGTGGTGTGTATATAAGCAGTGAATAATTATTATTATCATTTTGACCCCCTCCCCCAAAGTAATGTGCATTATAAAAAAATCTATAGGCACGCATTGTTCTGGTATTTTAATAAGTATAAACTAATCAGCTTTTAAAAATATAAGTACATGCATGTGTTTTTAAAGATTGCCATGTACTTAATCTAAGAGTATCTCATACATGTAAAAGAGAGCTACATCTTAAAAAGAATAATCAATGAAAGAATAAAAAGTACAGCAATCTGAATACTAATCAGTAATCAATAAGGCAAAATTAATTAAATAAAGCTTATATTTGCAGTTTTGAACCCAATGCATTGTCCGTTATCCGATTGCTTTTTGTTAGGGGGTCACATTCTTTTTTATATAGAAAAAAAGGGTAGTAATGGAAGTAAAGTAGCAGGTGCTTTGATAGTTCTAAATCCAATTAAATGAAATAATTTTATCCGAAATACTCTAGTGGACAATATAAAAAGGAGAAGCCTTTCGGTATACGTGCAGCAGTGAGAAACCCCACGGAAATTTCAATATACATTTGTATGTAATAAAAGTTCTAAGCTTATGCTTGTCAAGACCCTTGACTTTGTGAGGATGCTTCCAATTTAGTGTAAAGCATTGTTATCATTGTTAGCATTGTATCACCTTATACAGATCCTCGAAGATACATGATTTAAGTTTTAAACGTTAACTAAGATCTCCTAAAACTTTTTTTGTATACATTAGAAATAGTTTTTTGTCCATCAAAGTGTGTGAAATAAAGTGCAATAATTCTTGTGTGTGCAATATTTGTACGACTTACGACTGAGGCCTTTCAGTAGGCGAGTAATCCAATCGAGGTCGCCCAATATACGACTCACTAATTGATCTCCATCACCGAGGTAGTCTGTCTACACATCTACGCGCCCCTACTACTGCAGTAGAAACTCATTTGTTATAAGGAAGAGATCGCGTATGTTGTTGTTTTCTCATTATTTTTTTTTAGATCGTGATAATGCCGACATAAGATGAATGTCAAAAGTATTAAAGAAAGCTTGTGGTGTACTTACCAATGTGTAAAGGACACCCACCTACCGAATCATGCCGCAGAGCCCGAAAATTCTGAAGGTATTATATGTTATTCAGTAATGCACATATTTTGATCCGGTTTATTTTTTTTTAATCAAACCAAATAATGAAGAAAAGAATATATTTATAATAAACCCCTATTTTTTTTTTCTTGGACGTGTTGCCCATGTAATTCAAGTGCTATATAGCGCTATGCTATGTCAAAAGAAAAAATCTTTGACGACCTAATGTCTGTAAGCGCAAAAAATGACTATATATCACCAACAAAAAAAGTTTGGACGTTTTATCATATCAAATTATTTGACATCCGAAGCATCTGGGCACACGGATTTGTACATCACTATTAATATGCATATATCCATACAAAATGGATGACCAAGTATGGGAAAGCATTTCCTGTATCTCAGCTTGATTATCATGTTACATCAGGAACAAGACAGAAAGATTTATTCACATACATTTCTCTATTGATTAATGGAAACTTGAAAATGGCGACAATGCCTCCAGTTTTTGGACATTATAGGAACGGTTTTAATCAAAGAAAATAAATGGCAAACTCATCACTGTATTCTATTACAATGGTAGCTCTATTTTAACATTGGCTTCCAAAACAGAGTAGTATTTGGCTAAGTTATATGTTATTTAATTAAAATTAATTACTTATATCTCTTGTGTCCATGAAATGACCATTGGTAGAACATCATAACATCTGCTCGTTCTTTGCATCACTTAGAATTGTTCATTGTTCCGAGACCTCCATTTTTTTTTTCAGGATTCTTTATTTTTAATAAACCTGTAACTCGATTAATGACAGAATATTCTGATCTTATTGGATGCCTCATTAAATGTTACAATCATTCACGGCGGGAGATGACACGATCATCCAATGAAAGCCTTTAGAAGCTGCATATAACACTTTTAACTCCAATTGATAATTTCCGGGACTTTGCAGCATCTACAAAACATGGTTCCCAGCTATGTGGAACTGTTCGCGTGTTTTTCTGAATTACGCCCCATGAACATTTTGATCCACCGGGTTGTCTTTGACTTTGATGAATCAACGAGCACTTGTCAATATTAGTCGGGTAGCTTAACCTGAAGGCATATCTCTGCATTAAACAAAAAACTCATTACCACTTCAAAGGTAATTTACAATAAAAGGTTGTGTATGATGAGGATGGTTAAATCTGTAATGATCACTCGTGGCTACACTAATTCTTAAACAAGTGTCGAATTCTTGCTTGCCGTGGGTCTAATACATAAATGCATCTATATAAACTTGAAAATTCATTCAAAGATTCATCGAATCAGAGTAATATCAACAGAGACATGAATCCCCATGTTCAGAGACACATTATAGAATAATCGTATAGATTTACAATTTTTCCCATCAATCATCAAAACATTTTGTTGGTTAAGTTTTTGATTCATGAATGTGTAAATTTTCTTCAAAATTAGCATTTATTTCCGTAAAATGAATACTCAAATACAGCATAAAAACAAAAAACTCCTTATTAATTCAGCTCTTCGACCCTAATTTTATGGACTTGATATCGAGCGCGCATTGCATGTTTCCAGGATGGGCAAAAGAATGTTTTACATTTCTGACTACTTCTCTTCCCTCAAAATTTATTCACTTAAAACTTAAGTATTTGCAAAGTTAAAAATATTTTATACAAATACGTTGCAAAAAATTATATCCTGTAAAATATATAAATTATAGATACATGTATTTGATCCACTGAATACCTGGTATTTTTTTTTCTGTGCTTATTCATTTTAAACTCGTTTATTGTGACCCATGTACATGTATGCAGATACGTGTACAAATATTGGCAAAGAGCTTATTGAATTTTTGCAGCTCATGTCCGATTGGTAAAAAACAAAGGCAATTAAATATGTTCAAAGCAAACTATGACTTTAAAGCCATTGAAATAATTCTAACAGATGATGAATTTATTTTTTCTTTTAGTTTGAAATATCATCAGGAGAATATGCACTTCTATCTTTTTTGGAAAAGTTAAACATTTTTATTTTACGTTTATTATGTTTGTTTCGCAGATGTATCAACTCAAGCCTGTAATTTTGAATAATCTGGGAATGAATTATTGGAATTTTATCAAAAAAAGATTAGAATGCGTCATAAACATCAGATAAGTATTTAAAGATAACATTCTGATGTGAGGTAGGTATACTGCAAACACTTTTCGCATATTAAATTTACATCCTGACAAAGTCGACAAGTATTTCCTACTGTGACCACCTATAAAGATTATTTCTGTTTTATTTCTTAGCAAATACCTGTAGCCGTAAAAAAGGTCGTGATCGCGAAATCTAGGTAAGCTTTAGGATTTTCAGCTGTTCTCTTCATACAAAGTAAGCTTGTGGAAAATAGAACTTGAAAGAAATGCTATCGACACAAATAATTCTCTGCACATGACTTATGAAAGATTCTTTTGAAACTTTGATTAGGTGCGTGAAAAGTCAATATAGTGAATATAAGAAGCATACTGCACACCATGACTAATTTTTACCGTAATATGCCATGGGTTGCCTTTTTTATTAATTCCCTCAATTAATAAAGGATGGTATACAATGAAGTGACCCGGTTTCAAAAGTAAGGCATTTGTGATACACTGTAATTTGTCTCCCATGGATCTTGTGGAGAATTTCGAGAGGTCGGATGGGCTAATAACGGCGGACATTAAATGACAATTGATCTTCATGACTTCAATCCTATCGCATCTGTGCCACTTGTTCCCGAGAAAGTGGTAATAATTCCTTCCAGCAGTTTGCGGAACGGTAAGACAAAAGCGGTCATATCTCTTGTACAAAACAAACGATACCTTTCTGTGACATATCAATGCAATCTGTAGTTTAGAAAGACCCTTTCTTAAACTACATATTCAAATACGTTTTGCAAGTCAGAATTTAAGTATATATGTGTGTCTTTCTTGTATTAGAAAACACTTAATTTTTTAAACTGCATTAATAAAAGCATTAATAGCTTACCTTTCAATGGAGATGGCGACAAGCGTGAGAACGCTGGTAAAAACAAAAACTGGTTGAAAATACGACATAAATGAACAGAGTCCGTCACTCCGGAAAATGTTCCAGCGACATGGGGCCGTAAACTCCAGCAATTTCAGGGGAGTGACGATCGCGGAAACCAGCAAGTCAGATACCGCTAAATTCACAATGTAATAATTGGTCACTGTGTGCATATGGTTATTTTTCCAAACTGTCCATATCACTAACATGTTTCCACAGATTGCTAGGACAATGACGACGACGTAAATGACGATGATAGTCGCCAAAACTGCGGGTATTTGGGTCAAATCCTTGTAGTAATGGTTAGGGAATGGACAGCCGTATTCGTCGTACCCGTCGTGGTTCAAATTAGAAATATTAATCTCTTCAGAGTTATTGAAAAAATAAGAAAAATTCACATCTTTGTAAGATAGCAACTTTTTGGCCTCTTGCATAGAGAACTTTCCTTCTTGAGCCATTTTAGTCTTTCTGTAATTATTTACGATATCAGTGTTATGCAGAATATCATTTCACTAGCTTAAAAACTACTTAAGATCCTTAGCACAGTCAAAGAGCATTCTATAATACCAAACAAAAAGCAAGCAGGGGATTAATAAATCACTTTTAAGCATTTTCGAAGTGAACGATACGTAAGCTCAGTGGAATATAAGGTGGTCGATAGTCAGCAATTCACCTGCCAACTGGAATCCGATCTCTACACGCTAGTCATTTATACGGTTCTTCTGTGTGCATGTGCGCGCAGTCACATCAAATTCGAGTTCTTCTTATTAAATATCTAACCTTGATTAACTCTACATAATTAATATTTAGCAGGAATACATTTTTTCCTCTTTAATGTTAGAATGAATCTATTTCTTCATGTTAAAAAAAATCGAGTTGAGGAGAGTGTATTTCAGATGTATGGTACACCAATCCAAAACAATTCAATTTCCAAGAGGTTGGAAACAGATTTCTTTTGATTCATAATGAAAATGAACTCCCGAAGAAACAAATTTGCCGAAGCTCCATCCCTGTGTATCTTTCATTCACTATATTCACTGAATATTCACACTTTATATTCACTGGAATATTCACATTGTTTTATTAAAACTTTTTTTTGGATAGCTCATTGGACCTTTAATACATGACAAGATATCTACTTATTTGTAGGCAACAGGCTTGAAACAAATTTAACTGTGTATCTTTCATTCACTATATTCACTGAATATTCAACTTTATTATTTGGACATAAAACATTTTTTTTAAAACTTTTTTAACTGACGGCTGCAAAAACATCTTTCAAGAAAATGTAAAGATTGCAACGTTTCATTGCTCCTTTGACCTTTACCTTTGATACATGACATTGCTTCAGATATCTACTTATTTGTAGGCAACAGGCAATTTTATAGTTTGAATTCCTTTCAGTAATGAGCTATGAACTTATTTATAAATTAAAAATGATTTGATGTTTCAGTGAAGTTGAGGTGGAAGTACATTAACTTTATAACACTTTCCCGTGTTGTTTTCCCCCTTTTCTTTCTTTTTTAAACAGCTTTCATTAAAAAAATCACAAAGATAAAAACTCTTCTTAATTGAAAAATTGGGAAAAGAAACAGATTTTCATGAGAAAAAAAAATTGGCAAAAATTTAGAACGAAATTATCAGAACAGGTTATTATGGACTAAAGAATAGGTTGAATAGAAGTCTTTTATCACATTACTTGGATCTTTAAAAAATATTGCATTCCTGACCACAGAGACATAGATGTAAAACAGATCCTGTTATTGATACATGTAGCTGTCTTTATTTGGTAAAACGTTCGTCATACTAGTATTATTATTTTCCAAAATAGAAATCAGAAACTCGTATACACTGTAAAAGTTTTTCCAAGTTAGGGAGCAAAACAACAAATCTTGCACCCCTGGCATAATTTAGTCTGCGAAGATACTTGACTCGTATCAATACTGTTTTAAATTTACATTGTATACTAGTATGATATTTTAAACTTTTAAATGGTTTAATCAATTATTGTTTCGCACATTAAAAATCCTTTATTTATCCTGTTTATTGTCATACATATAATTTAATTTAATGTTCTTTTGATAACACTACATTTTTTTTCTTTTTTTTACTTTTGACGTGGTATATTATAACATTATTTTTCAGCATCAGCCATGACCACATCTCTATATTCACTGAAAATTACTTCATTATTTTGATGACTTGGGAATTATAGGTCATCACCTTATTTAACTGGAGACAACAGGCATAAAACTTTTTTAACTGACGACTGCAAAAAGATCTTTCAAGAAAATGTAAAGCTTGCAACGTTTCATTGCTCCTTTGACCTTCACCTTCGATACATAATCTTGCTTCAGATCACTACTTTTTTGTAGGCAATGAGCATTTTATAGTTTGAATTCCTTTCAGTAATGAGCTAAACTTATTAATAAATTAAAGAAAAGATCTCTAAACACCTGTGGAATTTCAAGTGTGGACATACCGGTATGTATTGAATATTGCAGAAAGATGAGTATAAAAATAATGACCACAATTTTTTTTTTATTATTAATCCAACTAAACGTATTTTTATTTAAATAAAAGTGGAAAGTGGACACAGTTTACATTCAAAGCTCAATTCAGGTTTATACTTTGAATAATATCGAGAAAAAATTAATTTCCAAAACAGCCCATTATTTATTTCACAGATACAAAACAAATGAATTTTTTAAAATATTCATTAAAAGATGTTGCACACCTGATATTTTTAGCATCATATTCTGACAAAACTTCTTTGTGAATTTGAATCATCAGTGGGATATTTGGCAGGTATTTAAACTCAATTAAACGAAACAGAGCGGAAGCAGAGCAAACACAGACTTTCAAAAACATCAGAAGTGGGATAAGGTCATGGAGGAGTGCACATTCCCTGTCCACCGATCACACCCACCGTGTGCACCTTGTCATGATCGAAAAAAAACCCGGAAAAATCCGTGGACAATTCGGTCTGTAAATAATTTTCTGACAATAAGTGTGTAAAACGTCAGTCGGCATTTGACTCAATGATAGGTAGGTTGTATTTGCTGAAATGATCACTGTATCGATCATTAAACTTGCAAAATAACTTGAGTCGGGATTTTTGATATCCATGTCTGATTAACTTTTTGGCAATAGCTTGTCTCGTTTTAAAATTATTCTTACGTAGAGTACTTGGAGTATCGTATCAACTGAGAAACCTAAATCCCATAAGCAGGTGATAAGGGTATACATGTATTGCTACATTAGCAAGGGAAGTTGGCAATTGAAAAGTTAAAGGCATCACATTTATCATAGAGCTTTGTTGTAAGGTTACCATTAACACTTTTTTAAAAATAAAATATCCAATATGAAATAGGTTTGTCAGACTGTGTTGTATCTTTTATTTCAAGCTCACAGGGATATACCGAGTCGACATACAGAGTGTATGAATAAAATTAATTACTAGTATATTGTTTTTATGTTATACGTCGTCGATATACCTAAATGTCGAGTTTACTTCTTCTTAAGCCGGAGTTTTTTTAATAAATTCTGCTTCAGATGAATACAAAAATTGCACTGCTAATAACAGTGCAAAATTTGTTTCCATTGTGAATCCCAACAGATTGTTGGAAAACCAGATCTCCAAAAACTACATGGATATTTCCAACCCAAAACTCAAGCATCTTTTTAATGTCATCTTCAGAGTACTTGTGTATGTAATCAGAATGTTATTTAGCAAAATAATTTTACAAATGATCAATGAAAAGGTAATGAAACATATTTACGATTTATACAGGTGGTAATGGTATATTGATACATGATATTATAGGATTAAACGTTCTTTTTGAAAAATTTATCGATGTGTAAACTCTTGACATTTTACTCACAAACTGAATAAAAGTGCGAAGAATATATTTATTCTTAATAATTATGAATCAGAAGGGTTGTTAAGTATAAATATATTACAAATATTTTCATCCTCAAAACTTTGATGAACAAGTACCTGTTTAATAAAAAGAAAATGATTTTTCCAAAGCTTTTGTATATATGCAATATTATAAAACATTACAAAATGTGCTGTAAGACAGGGAAATTATTATAGTGAGTTTTTTGAAACTACATTATATTGTCCTACTTTATTTAATAACACATAAAGTTATCATCTGTATGTTTAGGTGATTTAACTTTTAATCACATGATCTTGTTTTAAGCTTTCCAAAGTTGTATAGATAGTCTTTCAAGATATTGTATAGAATGGAAGTTGCATGTTTAGAAAAAACAAAGGTTATGATTTGCTCGACCAGAGAAATAAAGAAATATTATGCATTTTTTTATAACAATAATAATATAAATATTACTGATAAGTACAAATATCTTGGTATATTTTTACAATCAAATGGCAATTTAAAACATGTTTGTGATTACTTTGCTGCCAGAGCCAGAAAAGCTTATTTTTGCCTTAAAGCATAAACTACCTTTTGCCTCAAATCTCTCTCCCAGCTTGTGGTTAAAGCTATATGAATCAATTATTGTTCCAATTTTAACATACTCCTCAGAAATTTGGATTTCTGATTTTAATACAAATCCCAATAATTTTGATAAAACTTCTTTTGAAAAAATCCAAAATTTTATCTTAAAAAACATATCCATAATAAAGCATCAAACTTAGCAACAAAAATTGAATTAGGCGTTTTCCCTGTACATACCAAAATTTACCAGCTTGCTTTTAAATATTAAGATTGGAAAAATTAACAAAAACAAATAATAATTGCAATATCAAGAATGCTTACTTGGAAGATACTCGATTATGAAAATAAAAAATGTTGGCAAAGTTGTGTAAAATCAATACAGAAGAACTTTGACACAGATTTTAAAACTTTTAGTCCTAAACTTAAAAATTTCTTTGAAAATAAATTTTTTTTTCCAATCCATTAACAATACTCAATGCGGTAAGCTGTCATTTTATAGTACATTATTCAATATGATTGAAATGGAAATCCAACCATACTTGTGTTTTCCACTTCATATGAGGTAAGTGCACATAAGTTGTATGTAGAAACAGGTAGATATTGTAATCCTGTCATTCCTAGAGAAAATAGATTTTGTTTCCAATGTAAAACTATTGTTGAAGATGAAAAACACTTTTTACTTGATTGTCCTGTGTATAAAAATGTCAGAAAAAAGTATTCAAGGTTACAAGATGTTAATAACTTATCTTGTTTGCTTAATCCACATAACTTTGTATACGAAACAAAGTCTATATATCAGAGACTGTTTTGATATTAGAAACAAGCTTACAATAGTATAATATTTTGTAATACATGTATATGGCTAACAACACATTCCTGTATATAAATATGTGCTTTAGTGCCAATAAAGAATTGAATTGAATTGAATTGAATTATTTCTCTTTGAGACCTCCATACAATTCGTTAGTTCTGGACGGCGTAGGAATACATTTTACCGCAAATGAACGTAATCGAGATGAATTTCGATCTTGTCAAAACAATCGATAAATAAACTTATAAAGACTTATCGAATCATCAACAAATATCGTAATTAAGTTTACTTCAGAATAATCCTTGACCCTGGCCATGTTGACATAAACGACAACTCTCATAGCGAAAGTTGCAGACCGACGACGCC